GGCCTCTGCGGCCCCGTAGCTGCCCTTGGGTTCCAGCCCGGGTCTCCCCCCTGAGCGGCGCGCGAGCGGCGGCCCGGGAAGGACCTGACGACCGACCTCCACTGGGTTGGCCGCGGCGGTGCCTGATCGCAGCGGCTGTAGCCACACCACACGGGACACCGCACTCGGTTCAGTTAAGTGTTTGCCGACTAGCTTTCTCCAGTCGACAGCCAGGCCCAGCTCTGGAGAGTCCGCAAGACCTAGCTAGCCCGTCCCCCGGCGGGGGGGCCTCCCGGCGATCTGGAGAGCAGCCCCCGACACGTCAGTCTTACTACTTCCGCCTCACCCGCGGGGACCTCAGCCCGGCGGAAAGCTCCTTTTCTGGAGCCTAGAGGGGACCACACCCCCGATGCTGCGGCGGGTTCTCTGCTCTGCCGACGGTCTTTCGGGACGGGGATACGGCTGAGGCCTAGCTTCCGGGACGCGGACGCCACCGCGGGGTAAGAGTCGCTGCTAGGCCGCTCGCCCGTCCCCGGGAAGACTTGGGGGCACCGGCAGAGGCGGGGAGCCGTGCCCGCCGCACGCGCCCAGTGACCGTCCAGGAAACGGATCCCGGTAGATGGCTAGGCCTACACCTAGTGGACGCCCCGGAGCTTTTGCCGGCCGAACCAGTGGGCATTTGCCGGCTGAACTCGCCACCGACTGCAGAGGGCGAGCTCAGAGAGGCGGTTGATGGCCCCCAACCCGGATCGAGCTGAGGCATTGGGCGTCGCTGTGCTGGGACATCGAGGGCACAGGCCGTGCGTCTAGGAATCTGCATCTCACCTCTCTGCTTCTCTCCCAACCCGTCTTGAGTGTCCTCCCGCCAAAAAATAAATACATAAATAACACTGTCTTCCCGAGACTGTATTGGAGGCCTCCCTCGCCAGATAACGGCTGTCACATGTTCGAAGACAGGCAAGCCCGAGGCAGGTCTGTTGCGGAGACACGCAAAGAGACAGGGTGTTAGCCCTTTTATCCGGTGAGCTGGGCAGCCTGACAGGGTTATCGTTACTTGCAGGTAAAGAATCTTGGCATACGTTCGACTCTTTTTCGATGTTCTTGGGTGTGTGTGTGTGTGTGTGTGTGTGTGTGTGGGTAGATGTATACGCGCGCGTTTGGATTTCTCAGTTTTATGTTGCAGATTATTCTGGAGAAGTTTACCCTTGCCTGTCTTGGCTATTTTGAGGGTACCTGCCGTTTGGAGAGTTTCGAAGCTCAGACGAGGGGCAGTAACTTCCGTTTGGCCACTCGGGGGCAACATGTAAGGATGCAGATTTAAGGTTCCCTTTCCCTGGGTAAAGAAGTAGTGCCAGGGCGAAAAATCACAAGAAGCTTCTGGCTTGAAAAGTCCTTCTGCCCTCTCTGATGCAGTCCTCCCTGTAGGAGGAGGTGAGGTTCCAGGAAGTAGGGGATTGAGTTTTTTAGATAGTGGATTTGTATAATTAGAAAAGCAGTTTAGAGAAGCCAGAGACCTGGGACTCTTTCTCACTCCCCCGTCCCCACCCTCATCTTCCTCAGATCAGTGCCACCAAGGCCCCTGCCTATTCCCTGATTATCTTCCCATACTTGCCCTCCTTGTGGCTGCCTTGGTTCAGGTCCAGCCCTCTCTCACCTAAATTACCATGATAGCCACTTTGGTAGTCTCCCCATCATCTCCCCACTTGGATCCATTTTCCATACTGCTGCTGTAAAGATTTAATATATATATATATATCCTATTTCCAGCAACAGTGGTTCTCAAAACTTGGTACCCATCAGATTCAGCTAAAGGCTTATTTAAATCGGAGACCTAGGTCCTACCAAATCAGGATCTTAGAGGAGGGGGTGACTGGTCATTATTTTTTAACAGGCTCTGATTTTGACTAAAATTTAACCATGAGTGTATAGGATAAAGTCTTACAAGTTTAGCCTATGAGGCCTGTCAGACCTGGATCTTTATTACTTCTCCAGGTACATTGGCCTTTTGGAACCCTGTCCTCTGTTCAAATTGGAATCTTGAATATCGTGTTCTCTCAAGCCTGCAAGCTCATACAGTTCCTTTTGCCTAGACTGCCCAGTCTACCGTTCCCTACTTACCTGCCTGAAGACTTCTATTGAACAGTGCAAATGCTTTCCGTATAATGCCCCCTTTTTCATCTTCCAGTCTTTGTTTATAACACTTTACCTCACTGTACTGTTATTTTATTTCTTATGTGCCTGTCTTCCTTGTTAATTGCTAACTCCCAGGAGTTACTCCCTGGGAGTAACTGTTACTCCCAGGAAGACTATAATTTATGGATCTTGGTATCCTTAGCAGTGCTTTAGGCCACTTAATACAGGGTTTTCAAATGAACTGGTATACCCCCTGCACAGTGATGAGAACAGAGCTGCCACCAGGCTACCTATCCAGGGGTCCGCCAGCTACCCAGAGGATGGGGCTGTGTGGCCCTCCTTACCACAGTGTGCTCTGGACAACTCATCTTGGTAGACTGAGAATGTAGATTAGGCTTTCAACAAACTTTGGAACCATCCTGCCAGCAGGGTCAGCAGGCTGTCGGTAAATAGGAATTTACCAGTAGTCTCTGGCATAATCTGTTGTTGGAGTTGTTTTGTTTTGGAAGATAGAAATGTGATTCTTCCCTCGTTCTCTCCTCTGAGTGCCACTCCCCACCCTTGCTTCACCCTACACACACACACACACACACACACACACAGTCTTAAATCCAGGCAACCCTTCAGGCACCACAACCTCTGTTATTCCCTGCAACCTGCATTTTTCTGGCTCATCCTCCTTCCTCATGCAGCTTAGATTCCGCATTCCATCATTTCAGCCACATTCTTGACTGTGTTCTTGATGCCTCTCTTCCATTGTTCTTTCATTCCAGCTGCCACGTGAAACCTTAACCTTGGGTTCATATTCAAGAACTGTCCGTATTCAAGCACCTATACCCAAGAGGAATCTTAACACTGTGTTAAAATTGTGTGTCTGTAAATTGTGTTTTTAACCTCAGTTGGACCCCCAGTGCTGCTCAGTGATCCTGTTCATTTTCCAAATCAGCTCTCTTCCATTCTGCACAACCCATTCTTCTCAAACCTCTGACTTCATGTCCCTCTTCTTGTCAGGTGACCTCCCTGACAGCCTAGTGAGAGATGCAAGCAGAAAAAACACAATTACAGACACTATGTTGGGTGCTGTGACAGAGAAAGTACTGGGGTTCTGAGAGCATCCAGGAAAGAGGAACATCTAATTTCGTCTTGAACAGTCAGTAAAGGCGTCCTTAACACAGCTTATGAGCTAAGTCCTAAAGGGAGAGTAGGGATTTGCCAGATAGAGAAAGCAGTGAAGGAAAAGTAATTCTGTTTGACTGTAGCATCGCATGTAGGTTAACAGATAAAATTGGAGAAGTAAACAGGGTGAGACGTCGAACCCATATAAAAAAATTTGGACTTGATCCTGAGGAGAATGGGGAAGACACTGAGTTGTTTTAAGTGGGCGTAAAATCAGATTTATGCCTTGGAGTTCAGGGTGCAGACTGGAGGGGAGCAGAAAGCTTGCTGGAGTGATTAGTTGAGAACTTAAAGAGGCTTCAGCTAAGGCAGTGGCAGCTGCTCCAAGAGCCTGGAACATAAGATTAAAGATGATTAGGAGGTAGAAGAGACAGGATTTGGTGACAGATTGGATGTAGGGACTGAGACAGAGGGAAGGGTCCAAGATGACATCTGGGTGTGTAAATTGAAGACAACTCGTATAGAACTTACAGGAAGAGGAAGTCCAGGGCAAGAACATAAAGAGTTCAGTTTTGGACATGGTACATTGAAGATACCTGAGGAAAACATGTCTGTGTGAATCCAGTGAGCAATTGGATGCTAGATCTGGAAGTCCAGAGACATCTGAGCTAGAGACGAGATTAGGAGCAGTCAGCACGGATGTGATACAGAAAGTGTTGGGAATGGGGGGGGTGGGGAGGATCCTTATGGGATAAGACCTGTGGTAGAAACTTAGGATGTGACTAAGGGACAGACAGAGAAGATGAGGCTCCAGTGAAGTCTGTGGGATGGCCAGAGGGATGGGAGGAATACTGCCGAATTGAAGGGCATGGTAAGCAAGATAAGAATGCATTTCAAGGTTCAGAGGTGGAGGCTATTCCACCCTTTCAATCTTAGTGATCCTTGTAATCTTGTAACTGTTTTTACTGGTGTAAAGGTATGGAAGTGATGCTTTGCTGATCTTGGAGCCTAGGCTTCAATCGAGCACGCAATTTCTGATTTTTTCTTTCTCTTGAAATTCAGTGCTACTATGTGAAGGAACTTAGGCTAGTCTGCTGGATAGTGAGACCATATGCAACAGAAACAAACAATCCCAGCTAAGACAAGACCACCAGAAGAACCAGCCAACTGAGCACGCTCAACTTGGGGGGAAAAAGTGGTTGTTTTAAGCCAGAAAAACATTTTAAGGTTAAGATTCCTTAGAATAGGGGCACTTGGGTGGCTCAGTCATTTGAGCGTCAGACTTTAGCTCTGGTCATGATCTCATGGCCAGTGGGTTCAAGCCCCACATTGGGCTCTGTGCTGACAGCTCAGAGCCTGGAGCCTGCTTCTGATTCTCTGTCTCACTCTCTCTCTGTCCCTCATCTGCTCATTCACTGTCTCTCTCTCAAAAATAAATAAAACATTAAAAAAAACACACGGTAATAAACATATTTTTTAAAAAAGATTCCTTAAATATGTTCCTACAACACCTTGCAATTCTCTGTAATATTCTCACACGTGTGTTTCTCATGCTGGATAATAAAACTCTAGGAGCACAGGGTCTCTGTTGGCCTTATTGGTTGTTTTATCCCAGTACTCAGCACACTGCCTGGCACACAGTGGGTGCTCAATAGACCTGAATAGTTAAAGGGATTAGATCTATGGGGGGCGGGGGGAGTCTCACCAAATCGTAGAAGTTGCCTCCAGGTATGTGTTCCAAAGTGTACTTCATTCTCCAGTCTTATGCCCAGTGGTGGAAAGAAGGTGAATTGTGATGTATGTGGAACATGGGAAACTGGGGAGTTCCGTAACCAGGAGGAGAAAGAAGTAACAACAGCTAGTGGAGACAAAAAGAACTGCTTCTCCCTTCTTCCCCCTCCACGTTTCCAGTGAGAGTTGAGCCCAGCATCCCAGACTTGTGTGACTATATAGGCAAGCTTTCAAAGACTAACTACTTTGGTACCCTAGCCCTCATGGCTTTCTGAGCAGATAATAGGCTTTTAAGTAGCAAAGCTCCCTGCTCTCAGCAAGCCCAACACCATGGGGAAAGGAGACACCTTGCAGGTAGCACCAACCACCTCAGCCTACCGCTCTGTCATGGAGGAGTATGGTTATGAGGTGGGCAAGGTCATTGGCAATGGCTCCTATGGGATGGTTTATGAGGCTTACTACACAAAGCAGAAGGTCACGGTGGCTGTCAAGATCATCTCAAAGAAGAAGGCCTCTGAGGATTATCTTAACAAGTTCCTGCCCCGTGAGATACAGGTCAGAAAGGGGGCTAGAAGAGGGAACTGGTACCAACCTCATTAAGACTTCTGGGTATGGTTAGGAGGGGGTATGGGTTCAGCCCCCAAATCAGAGGTGAATGTCTTGCTTTACTAAGCAGCAATCAATCAAGCAGGTTGATATAAATTCAACCTCTTTCCACCCACCCACTCACCTCCAGGCCCTCACAAAGTAAAAGTACAAAGCATAGGGTTTGCCCACAGACCTCTAGCCCTCTTGGGTTTAATCCCGTTGCAGAGTCCTAAGCAAGTTACCAGTGGGACAGCAAGAGGGCTGGGAGCACAGCCAGGGTTCTCCCTTCCCAGGTTTGACGGGTCCCTCTTCTGGGGCCAGGTAATGAAGATCCTGCGGCACAAGTACCTCATCAACTTCTATCAGGCCATCGAAACCACATCCCGAGTATACATCATTCTGGAGCTGGCCGAGGGTGGTGACGTCCTTGAATGGATCCAGCGTTACGGGGCTTGCTCTGAGCCCCTTGCTGGCAAGTGGTTCTCCCAGATGACCCTGGGCATCGCCTACCTGCACAGCAAGGGCATCGTGCACCGGTAAGGGCGCTGCCACCCAGGCTGGGCCCTTTGGGGTCTCAAGGGGGTTTTATGCGTATTTTCCATTTTCTGCCCTCTTTTTCCCTCCCTTGGCCTTCCTCAGTTATCTAGGCCCATTCATCCCCTCTATTTTAATTGTCTGGTCAAGAACATTTCTGTAGTGCCCACCGTGAGCCCAGCACTCTGTGAACTGCAATGATGAGCCCCCACTGGTCCTCAGGTACCATCCTCTCTCACTTTTGGGCTCTGCTCCTAACTCCATGGCTCCTTCCTCTCTACCTTGTGTCCTCATAATGGCACCTGTCTCCCACTTTGCCTTTTCCATCTCTAGCCTCTGACCCCCGGCCCTTCAGCTCCCGGTCTAATACTAAGCCCTCTCCCCAGCCTGACTCCCAGCCTTTCTGCTGCTGGTAGGGACTTAAAGTTGGAGAACCTGTTGCTGGACAAGCGGGAGAACGTGAAGATATCGGACTTTGGCTTCGCCAAGATGGTGACTTCTAACCAGACTGTGCGTAGTAGCGCTTCTTACCGCCAAGTGAACTGCTTTGCCCACCTCAGCCAGACCTACTGTGGCAGCTTTGCTTATGCCTGCCCGGAGATCTTGCTGGGCTTGCCCTACAACCCTTTCCTGTCTGACACCTGGAGCATGGGCATCATCCTCTACACTCTAGTGGTCGCCCGGCTGCCCTTTGATGACACCAATCTCAAGAAGCTGCTGAAAGAGACGCAAAAGGAGGTCACTTTTCCATCTAACTACTCCATCTCCCAGGAGTGCAAGGTGCTGGCGCCCCCAGGAGGGCTGAGGCCTCAGGGCTGACCCACAGGGAGGGAATACCCAACCTAGGTCTCCCCACGCTGGGGGAGGCCCTTCCCCACCATCACAGTCTTACATTGTGGCCCCTGCCCCAGAGCAGTTGGCGGGGAGGGAGCTTAAAGGGCCATTCCTGGGCTCCACACCTTAGATGTGAGTGATGAGCTGATTGCAGCAGGCTAATGCAAGGATTTCCCCCCAAGGAACCCTTCCACCCTCTCCCCTCCAGGGAGTTAGACCCCAGGCTCCTCAGGATAAAACCAGGGCCACACCCTCTTTTACCAGAGTGGTGTGATGGGCTATCCTGCTTCTCTCTCAGGTCCAGCTGCTCATTGCCTGTGTGGCACAATGGGAGGCAAGCTCAGCCAAGACCTCTCTCTCCCCTGCCCTAGAACCTGGTCCTCCAGACGCTATGCCAAGCCACCAAGCGTGCCACCATCCTGGACATCATCAAGGATCCTTGGGTGCTCAAGTTCCAGCCTGAGCAACCCACCCATGAGATCAGGCTGCTTGAGGCCATGTGCAAACCCCCCCGCACTGCTAATCGGCACCAGTCCTTGGAAATCAATACCTAAAAGTGGTTGAAGGAGGGGGTTAAGAGAGGAGTGAAGCAGGAGGGTCTGGGGCTAACAATCTTTTATACGAAAAATAAATCTTTTTCTGATTTAGTTTCATCAGCTGGAGTCAAAGACATTCTTTCCTCAAGTGAACCTTAACAGAGAACACTGCTGAGCGCAACAGGTGGATTTCTAACCAGAGTCTGTAACTGGGCATCTTTTTTTTTTTTTTTAATTTTTATAGTTTATTTTTGAGACAGAGACAGAACATGAGCTGGGGAGGGGGCAGAGAGAGAGGGAGACAGAATCTGAAACAGGCTCCAGGTTCTGAGCTGCCAGCACAGAACCCGATGTGGGGCTCGAACCCACGAACCGTGAGATCATGACCTGAGCTGAAGTCGGACGCTTAACCGACTGAGCCACCCAGGTGCCCCTGTAACTGGGCATCTTGATACCTGTTAAAGTCAACATTGTCATTCACTACATAACTCACATGTGGCTCAGCGGGAAGAGTGTGCTCAGATGAACACCTGCTTTGAGGAAGCTTCATTATTCTAACCAAACGCTCATTATTACACATCTCTGTGCATTCTAAATATTCAAGCAGTGGGGCAGAGGCCCTGGTGGCTGTTTGGTCATGACTCTGCCTGTTTATAACCAAGTGGGGATGGCATTATTTGTTCTCTTAAAAATGGGTATCAGGATGTGTGAAATACCTTGTTTCTTCTCCTTCCTCCAAATGCCACCTTAACCATGACTGAAACCATTCCAGCAAATCATTCACACTATTGCTCTTAGAAACAGAAAGGACAGTTCAAATCAAGCTTATTAGCTATGGGTTCTGAATAAAGGAAAGCTAGTTGCTCCTTTCTCCCTGAATTCTCCCTCCCTGCCCTTGAAAATGGGCTTCGCAAATGGAAATTGAATAGTAAATCATGGGGCTTTCTTGGCAGAGGCATGATTGGGGGAAAGCAATGAGAGAAGACTCAGAGACAGCTCCACGTGGTCCTACAGTAAATAACAGATCACAGTTTAACAACCTCAGCACCAGGCAACTCTAGGACAAACCAACGTGAAAGATGAATCAGTACATGCCTGGAACATAGTAGGTCAAGATACTGTCAACTCCCACTTCCTGCTCCATGTCCCAATGCCCCTTCTTACTCCCACTATGATTCATGGCTTGAAACAAAGCTCCAAAGACCAGTGAAGAGGTTTCAGGTGTAGATGAGGCAGTATAAACACTAGGGTTCCGTCTGCCTGATTTTATTGGGAACAAGGGCACTGTAACTGTTATCAAAGAGAAGGGAGCCAAGGGGCTCCTCTTGCACTAACGTTCTCTTTCAGAGTTGAGCCAGGGAGGGGAGGGCAACAACCCCTTTTCAGGCAGGGTCACTATCACCCTCAGCAGGACCTCCCCAAAAGGCTGTGTTCCTTTAGCTTAGCACTTGGCACTTAAGGAAGAGACCAATGAAGGCAGCACCGAGAAAACAAGCCCAGACTCCTCAGGATACCCACTCCGCCAACTGCTTTAGCGTTTCTTCATCTTCATCCGCTTTGGGAGCTTTGGGGACAAGGATACCCAGAGAAAGAAAGTGTTAGGGCTTTGAGAACTTCCAACAATCCCCTGCTGTTACACTAAGAGTCTGCTGAATCATCTCTCCCTCAGCAAAGAATGGAAAGGTGTGTCCTTCTGCTTGCTGGGCTGCTGCAAATTCCCTGACACCTCTGAACAAACTGGGAAAACGTGCTGCTTTCTCCCGGTACTTGCAGCCCTACATACCAGGGTACACAGCTTGCTGAGTGAGGCAGAGGCTGGACTTTAATCTTCATTCCTCTTCAGCCATGTGCCCTTATGCAGTCAACAACCTGTACAACTGTAGCAGCAGCCCTCTCTGCCTGGCTCCTTGGAGGCAGGATGTAAGAGGAATATAATCTTTCCTCGTATCTATCCCACCCTCTCAAGCCCTTGAGACAACAGAATAACCTGAGTACCTGGCCCTTCAGGCAGCTGTGTGGGGGGTACACTGGGCAGTTTGATGGGGGGTTCTTCCTCCTTGTCGCCTATTTGTAACAACTCCTCAGCCAATTCCTCCTGCTCCAGCTTCTCTAGCTCCTCCAACAGTTCATCCTGGATATGGGACAAGACTGTTAAAGATGAAGAAAGGAAACTTCTACTTCCAAAAACATATCATTTTGGAATCTCCCCACCCCTCCCCCCCGAATTTGCCCCACGATTCTTTTGGGCATTCCTTCCTGCGGGTCTCATGCTTTCTCCAATATTCCCTGACCCGTTGCTCCAATCACCTCATCCACATCAAAGCCCAGGGGCCGGGAAATGGCATCTGAGATCTGCTGGGCCACCTCCTGTTGTTCTGTAATGTCAGCCATCAGCTCATCCACCTTGTCAATGTCCCTGAGAACAACATAGAGAGCCAAGAAATCAGGCAACGACCCACCTGACTTTCCCATCTTGCACAGATGAAAACCGTCCCGGTTGCGGCCTCGGACTATAAATTCATGGCTATCAGAAGAGATCCCTGGGCGACCATACAGAGGCATGTCTGGGCTGAGAACTGGCAAGGAGCCACCTTGGGCAGGAGAGGCTGCACTCCCCTCTCTGAAGGATCTTTAAGAGTTAGGAAAATCATCTTTCCTCCCTAGAATGCTTCAGCTGGCAAAGAGATCTTCCGGGAAGCGAGGAGACTGACAGAGGTCTAGCTGTCACAGGCATCTACACCGTAAATTTACATTCTGAGAGGTCTGAAGATTCAAAGTAAAATACCAAGCCACTTTCCCCAGTGCCTGGGCCCCGTGCTTCCCTCCCCCCGTACCCACATGTCCTGGTAGGCCTTCTTCATGCCTTGGGCAGCAAGCTCCATGGTCCGAAGCACTTCTGCATTGGTGGTGGCATTCTCAATGGCCTCACGCTGAAACTCCAGGGTAGACAGTGTCCCATCGGTTTGTGCCAGCTGCTGTTCAAATCTTTTCTTCCTCCGCAAAGCCTGTAGGGCGGCTGACCCAGCCCATACCCTGAACATCAGAGCCAGAAGCCCTTATGCTTCCCACCTGGGCCCGCCCAATAGGCACCTCTCCCCTGTTACCTCTCTTATTCTTGGTTCCATGCTTCTTGGCCATTTGTAGCTCGTGCTGAATCTTCTGCTCCAGAAACTCCTGTTTCTTGATCAATATCTTCTCTGTCTCCTTCAGTTTCTGGATTGCCTCTTCAGGGGTTGGCCCCTTCTCCTTCTTCCCTGGAGTCCAATCAAGCAGGCCCATATTGCGTGGAGGGAAAATATTAGCCACCAATCACATAGTGTGTGCTAGGTGCCTGTGTTACTGTTAATCCCAAAATGACTCTCTACAATGAATGTACTATCTTCACTTTACACATGTGAAAAACAGGCATATACATGTTAAATTTTTGTTTAAAATCAAACTAGTAAGAACTGAGCAGTAATTGAAATGTGGCAGGATGATTTCCAAATCCAGTATTCTTTCCTTTTGCAAACTGCCTTTCAAGTCATTCCCAGGCTTTTTTTTTTTTCCCCAGAGAAATTTTATGTTCACAACAAATCTGAGTGGAAGGTACAGAGTTCCCATAGATCCCCTGCTGCCACATATGCATGGCCCTCCTATGATCACATCCCTGCTGGAGTTTGGTCACTTTTTACAATTGCTGTTCCACTTGCTGTCCTAGGAGGTGGACAAGGCCCTAACTCCACAGGATCAAACTGAATGTAAAACAGGGGCTAGAGGGAAAAAAAAAAATCAGATCTCAATTTTCCCCTTCATCTTCTGTACTTCTGACAGTTATTAAAATTAATAAGGCAGGCCCTTGCCTGCTTAAAATCATTTCACACTCTCCATTGCCTACAAGATAAAATCTAAAACTTTAATGAGACATACTCTTGTTTACCTCTCCATCCACACTTCTACTTTCCTCCTCTTCAGTTGGCTGAGCATGTACCCACACGCGCGCGTGCGCGCGCGCACACACACACACACACACACACACACACACACACACAGCAGCCAGAACTCCTCTTTCCCCTAACTGTACCATACTGGTTCCTGCTTGTTTTGCACACAGTTACCTCCCTCTAAAGTACCTCATTTCTCCACCTGCCATACCTCTAGCCCTCTGGATCACAACCCCCCAAGCCTCTGTTGTGCTCCCCCTGGTTTTTAGGAACATCTCCATCATGGAGTTCCCACACCACGCTATTAGCAGTTTTTGCAGGTCTCCCCCTACCAGATGGGACTTTTAAGTAGGCAATCTTTCTCCATCACCTCAGATTCCCCCTCGGCCAGCATAGAGGAAGCACAGTGTTTTGGAAAGACTAGATGACGACAGCCGGAAACTCATCCCCCCAGCCTAAACAGTGGGGACCCTCCATTCACGTTCCAGCTCTTCTCTCTGGCGCAAGGGAAGGAAGACAGCCGGAGTCAGGCGGCCTGACAAGGCGGGGCCTCCTGGCACGTGAGGTGGCCTCGCTGGACCCGGACAGGGTTTTCGCGACAGCCTGGGGCCACCGGGTGCTTCCCCACACCCCTCGGCCAGCACTTCCCGCCCCACCCCACCCCTCGCCTGGGCTCACCCCTCCCGAAGAGTCTGCCAAGACCACTCATAGCCACCACCCTCGCCTCTCCTGCCTCCTCTCCGCGGCTTCCTGCAACTTCCGCCTGGCTCCCCGGGAGGGTGCGGTCTCATCGCGCAGAGACCGGCCTGGGCCAATCCCTCCTTGGGGCACCGCAGCGACATCATCAACTGGAGCCAACGAGGCCACTTCTGCCACGTGACCCGAACCACCAGCCCCCAACCCACTAGCTCCTCTTAAAGAGGCCGCTCGATTTTCGACTCCCTAAAATGGCCGCCCCACCCCCACCCCCAAAAGCACAGTGTTTGTTCTCCTGAAAGGGAACGTGCAGGGTTGTGCATCCCACTTCTTGGGGCCAGTGAAAGAGTTCTTCCGGCCCTTGACACAGTTCAGGAAACCGGGCGGGGATGGGGCGAGCACAAGGGGTCAGTCAGGTGGCAGAGCCACATGAAGTCTAATGCCGCTAGCTTTGATCTTGGCACCTCTGAAAAACCAATTACGGCTACAAAGTTAGAAAAACAAAAACCAGCCAGAAGATCTCTTCTGTAACACACAAACACATTTTAATAATTTACAAATACACCTGAAAATGCCTTCGTGACTTCCTTTCAGTTTTATGCTTCAAATGAGGCTCATCCACAGGCCCGGACCTCAGGGCCCAGCGTGGGCCTTTGCAAATGTCTCCAGGCCTTGAGTTAGGGTTTGGAGATTCATTCCATTCTGGACATGGATGCAGGTAACTCCTAGAAAGAAAAGCAGCCACATTTCATCAGGTCTGTTGTTACTCTCACCCTTTTTGGGTGTCACCCCAAAACTGTCATGCGAACTGGCCATCCTGTGCCTGTCTACCTAAACCCCTCCTAGGAACCCTTTCTCCTCATTCCCCAAAAGGCTAATCTCACCGCTCTGTACCCAGTTTGCTGACGTCTAGGATATTCCGCTTCTCGTCATCGAAGAAGATCATCTCGGAGAAAACAACTCCAGTCTTTTGCCGCAACCTGTGCAAGGAGGGGCCACGCTGGCTTCGTAGCTTCCGCAGTCTCGCTGGCCTCCCTGCTTCTACCCTTACCTCTGCTTACCTCTCAAAGTGGGTGACCTTGCTGCCTGGGTAGATTTCCCGATGAACAAAGTATCTGTCAAGGTCAAAGAGCTCCAGTAGCTGATTGGCCCCTTCAATCTCCCCTGTTCTGCAAAAAGGTGTAATAGATGGGATCAGCAGGGCTAGGGGCTGCAAGCTAACTTATGGTTAACCAGGGGGAAATCAACTTGCTGTTTTTCCAGGGTAAGTAGGCATCCTCGATCCTTATTCGATTCCCTATCCTTCCCACCTGACACAGGCGGCGCTGAGCCAATCAATGTTTAATAAATAAAAGGCACAGGAGAGGGTACAGTTAGAAAAAGATGCAAATACGTGCAAATGTGCACCGCCAAAGTTTTTGTAGCCAAGGGTTACACGAGACGTTTCCTCATGCATGCGTCTCTCAGCATGAGAATGACAGCTTTTGTCAGTCGCTCTCCTTACCGTGAAGCGGCCGCGACGGGGACCTCAAGGCTCTGCAAGCGTTCCAGGACGTCGCGCACCTCAGGATACAGTCGGACGGCCTGGCCCCGCCTATCCCGGACGGCCCCGTCGCTGGAGTGCGAGAGCGCGCTCAGCGGCTGCAGGCCCCGCCCGGCCCCGGCCTCCCCAGCGCCGCCTCACCTGCCCTTGTGGAACGGGGGGTCTACGTGCGTGTCCACCCAGAACGGCCAGAGCGTGTAATCTGCGGGAGGACGGAGGGAGGGCTCAGGCTCGGGGTGCGCAGGGCTTCGAGAGATGCAGCGGGGGGTTGGAAAAGGAGAGTCCCCTTCAAAGCTCCCCAGTCCGGTCCCTCACCCAGATCGAAGACCGCCAGCTTCGGGAGCCGCGCCATGACCAGCGCCGAAGGGCTGCGCGCTGCAAGGCAAGGCTTTTTTTGCAGCCACGAGCCGGCCCGCCTGCCTTAGAGAAACGGCGACTAGAGCGTCGCCGGCACCGGGGTCGTGGGTCTGGAGGCCGCGCAAGAGCGCCTCCTAACGGCGGAGCGGGGGAAGGACTGCAGCAAAGTGCCGACGCCACCACCCAGAGGACCGCCAGTGGTCCATCTCTGAGAGGCACCTCTTTCTTCTCCACTCCACCCAGCGTGGCCGGAATCGGCTAAACTAGAGAAGCCAGGGAAGGGAGCCCTTTCGTTCCGCGCCTTTCTCATTTTATCTTACCAGTCGAGACCTAAGTGATCCGTAGCTTGTCACTCGTCGCTCAACATTTCTCCAAATCGGCCTCTCTCCAGAAGTACAAAACCCTGAGCCCTCAGCATTCCGGAGCCGTAAACAATGTAGTTAGTGTCTGTGAAGCCCTTGAGGCCTTTCTTGAACCAGGCCATTGGGCTACAATGGGAGAGAATTCACTCTCCCGGTTTCTACCACCTACATCAGTAGTATTATTGGTAAATGTGTAAAACCAGTTTGCGGGGAGGGACTGATTTGTATTGTTTGGCTTCCTGTAAATATTCCTATCATGGCCAATTTCAAGCTACAAGCATGAGATCACTTATGGGGTTGGGAAGAGAAGACAATAACTAGATTTCCTCAGCTGGTAAGAACTGGCTCCACACCACTTAGAGGTGACTTTCCTACAGTCTCATAATTCCCCTAAGAACACATTCCCTTCTGCTGTCCGACCTCTTCAGAAGTGTAAAAGAGTGTGTACTGTGATGTGCACATTTGTGCAATACAAGAAAGATTCCAGGAGGTCAGGTAATATTTTATTGGCAACTAGGGACATAGCCATAAGAGAGCACACGGTACTGCAAACTAAAACCCAGTGGCCACCAAGGGCCCTTTGGGCCAGGAATACTGCATCCTAGGGTCCTCACGGTCTCCCGCCAAACAAGACTGGGCATCCAGGAGAGGGGGCAGTGGCTCCGGTGTCCCACAGAGTGAGAGGATATATGATGCCTCATTACGAGCGACAGGGTAAGGAGGTAAAATGGAGGGAGGGTCCATCACTGCCTAAGGCCACCTCCTCCTCTCAGAGCCAACACCAGGTGGAGGACTGAACCACCTAGGATCTTGTAATCAGCTGCCGTCTTCTCATCATTCCTGCAGGAAAAGGCAGCAAAAAAAAAAAAAAAAGGAGGGCGGGGGGGAAGGCATTAGAAATACTGTATAGAACAAGAGTCTTATGCTGGGCTTCTTGAGTCTTTCTGGGGGTCTATAAACTCAGATGAGAAACAAATTTACATCTTTATTTTTACTAACCCCTTAACTGAAATTTGATTTTTAATTTTGAACATAGGCAAAAAACCCACAGTGGTATTAGCACCATGGGTGACCTGTGAACAACAGAAATTAGAGGCTTTCATATCATAACTGTTTGCAAGTATTTTGAAAATATGTCAACATTATGGTAATTAGACCTACCATTAGCTCTTAGTATTAATAAACCATATATTTTTTCACAAATTCGTTTTCAGTATTTTGAAAACTGTATCTCAATATAATTAGTTTCTTTTGTAAACCTATGTATTTTATGTCTGCAAAAATCTTATTCTGAGAAGGAGTTCATATTCATCAAATCACCAAAGGATCTGAGGCTCCTCCTCCAGTATTTGCTCCCTCAACCTCACAACTATGTCAAACTCACATCTGTTTTCCACTGTAGATGAGCCGCTGCTGCTGTGGGGGGATTCCCTCTTTCTCTTCCACTCGCTCCTTGATTCGCTCCACCTTTAGGGGTACAAGTAGTCAGGGGCTGCTAAGGGGTAGAACCATGGAAGTGGAAAGAACAAGAGCTATGCAGATAGCATGAGAGTGACAGGACCAGGTTCATCAGCATATCCAAACAAATGTGCATGTAGGGACACAAGCATGAAAAAGTACTGGCCATACATTACCTTGTCTGTGGGTTCAATGTCAATCTCAATCTCCTTTCCGGTCAGCGTCTGCAACAGGCAAGGGTTTCATGAGTCCTACAGACTAAAATACAACTTGTTTTCTAGGTAAAAACACCCTGTCTTGGTCTCTGGGGATCTACATCTTCTGAAAGAAGCACATTGTCAGCAAAGCTGCTTTGAAGAATCAGAAGGCTTTGACCGTATCTGTATTTATCAAACACTTTTAGGCTGTAGACAGCTTTGAGAGGGCAAGATTCGATGAACCATTTGACACTCTTAATCCGACAGGTCATTTTACCCAGCTTCCCACTCCCACCCCATTAGAATCCATGAGAATACTGGCATTCCCTTGGATGAGATAGCAGTAAGAGATGTCCTATGGAAACCATGCCTTTGTTTCCTTCTTCCACAGGCTAAGGGCTGCTGATAATACACATAATAATTACACTGATTGTACACTTACAAAGTTGTGCTTCATCCAATCTAATGAGAAAAAAAATGAGAGAGAGAGAGACAGAAGCTCACCCGAAGCGGGACTCAAACTCATGAACTGTGAGATCATAACCTGAGCGAAAGTCAGATGCTTAACTAACTGAGACAACCACATGCTCAATCATAGCCAATATTTAACAGACACTGTCCAACAGTCAGAAACTATGCTGAAGGCACCAACATATTTAATCATTGCAGGTATTTAGGAGATATATACTATTACCATCACCATTTTTTTAAAAATTTTTTAACGTTTATTTATTTTTGAGTAAAAGAGTGTGGGAGTGGGAGAGAGGCAGAGAGAGAGGGAGACAGAATTGGAAGCAGGCTCCAGGCTCTGAGCTGTCAGCACAGAGTCTGACGCAGGGTTCGAACTCACCAGTGGTGAGATCATGACCTGAGCCGAAGTCGGACGCTTAATCAACGGAGCCACTCAGGCACCCCACTATCACCATTTTATAGATGAGGAAAATGGGTTTGGATAGGTTAAAAAGCATACCCACGAAGTTAAAGGGAGAGTGTGGACCCAAACACAGACTCTCTGGCCCCAGAGCCGAAGGTTTTGTTTGTTTGTTTTCCAGCTTTGTACTCAGTACTGCCTAAGTCTCACTGGTCTGATATTAAAACCCCAATGTATGCTTCTGTGATAGGCTGATAAAATAACATACGGTTTCTACTCATGGTATTCACATAGACCAACATGATAACAATACTTAGAACCTTATTTCTCAACTATGAGAATCAGTTCAGTACTAAAAGTATTTTTTAAAATGTAAGAATAATTATTTTAGAGTTAACCTGTTTGGGTGCCAAAGAAAAACCACAACAGTGATTCTCAAGTTACTACCCCAACTTAAGCTGGTCTGTGTGAAAATTTATGGTAAAATGGAAAAAATGACAACAGTGAGATTTTCATAAAATTAAATATATTTGGCTGTTAAAATATTCTTTCATGAAGGGGTTCCTGGTTGGATCAGTTGGTGGAGCATGTGATTCTTAATCTTGGAATTGTGAGTTTGAGCCCCATGTTGGGGGTAGAGATTACTTAAGAAACATTTTTAAAACGTCCTTTTATGAAATGACAGAAACAATATATGGTGCTTTTTTTAAAGCCCTTTCCTGACAAAATGAAAAGTTAGCAATTCTGTGTCACCCATAAATTATTTCACTTTACTGATCTTAAGACTTTAAATGCAAAGATTCTTCAAGCAGATAATCTATTTCTAGATAAACTAACTTGGAGGAAAAACTTGAGCAATGTATCCAAAGAGAAACATGTGTTCACTGAACAGAACATGTTTACAGTAAAACCCTAGGAAAAGCCCAAGGCCTATTAGTAAGAAAACTATTAAACCATGATACATCCATAGAATGATACATTATGCAACAATTTATACACTAACATGGAAAGATCTAAAGAATATATAATTACATATAATTTTCCACATGTAGCGATATACATACATATATGTATAGAAAAAATGATTAATAGCATATATATCTTCTATAACAGTGATTATCTTTGAGAAGGAGAGTAGGACTAAGGGGCGGGTTTATCAAGGGTAACTATCCCTTCATCTGCACTATTAAAGTTTTTAAGGGGCGCCTTGGTGGCTTAGTCGGTTAAGCGTCCGACTTTCGCTTAGGTCATGGTCTCACGGTTCGTGGGTTCGAGCCCCGCGTCGGGCTCTGTGCTGACTGCCAGCTCAGAGCCTGGAGCTTGTTTCAGAGTCTGTGTCTCCCTCTCTCTCTGACCCTCCCCTGCTCACGCTGTCTCTCTCTCTCTCTCCTAGAAATAAATAAAACATTAAAAAATTAAAAAAATAAAGTTTTTAATAAAAATTACCCCTTCATCACATGAATAATAAAAAACAAATATTCATTCTGATTTAATAAAAAACTTTAAAGGTAAAAAATACCCTTAGAGAAGGCCTAGAACTAATCCCCCAAGGGTAAAATGTTTGGATCTAGTGACATTAAAAAAACTATTGGTTTGTAAAATTTAAAACTCTAAGACTAGCCCTTTGTTTCTGACTGTAGAAGCCTATGTTTGTATCCAGAGAACAATCTGGCAAAGTGGTGTCCCAGCAGCAACACTTCTGGGAAGATAATCATGACTATGCTAAACAATATATCTATGATAAACAATATATCTATGATAATGGTCATTACAGTCTTGACACTGGAAAATTACAAGCAATCTAAGTATCAAACAATTGTGGGTTAAATAAATTATGTCATAAATAAATTATGACATAAACAGGAAAAATTACATAGCCGTTAAATATTTTGTGGAATAATGGTATAATTCCAATTTTGTTAAAAACACACCCACACCCACAAAACACACACGTGTATTTATAGGTTTTCAAAAAGAATTTGGGAGGATATATACGTGAATGCTTTTATCTTGAGTTATGAGATTATGCATGCTTTTAATTATATTATTTGTGCTTTTCTGTATTTTTCTTTTTATACCATGAATACGTTATGATGAGAAATACATGGTTTTTAAAACAATGTTCTAGATGAGAGTTTAAGGAAATGATTCTGTAAAACAGCACTGTCCGATAGAGATCAATGTAATGCAAACCACGTATACAATTTAAAATATACTAGCAGCCATGTATTTGAAAAGTGAAATTTTAATACTCTTAAACCCAATATATTCAAAATATTATCACTTCAATGTATAATCAATATAAAAGTTAGTATTTTACATTCTTTTCTCCTAACCAAATGTTCAAAATCCTGTGTGCATTTCATATTTACAGCACATCTCAATTCAGACGGTAAATTTCCATCCGAAATACTTGATCTATATTTAAATTTCATAATTTACAGTTGAAAAAGTAGATTTACATACCTAAATTGTTCCAAGCATACTTAAAAATTTTTCTCATAACTAAATAAAGTCTCAGGCTTTATATTTAAGTAAAATTAAATACAAATAAAATAAATAATTCATAAACTTTTAATTCGTCAGTGTCACTAGCCACATGTCCAGTGTTTAATAACCCATGTGGCTAACAGCCACTGTTCGAGCATTCCAGCTAATATATGAAGCAAAAATAAAATTAGATATCCTCATTTTGTAACCTCCAATGAAATAATAGATCTAGGCTATGACTAACATCATGGAAAACAAAACAAGCTGACAGAATTACACACCATACCATCTATGAGTTAGTCTCACAAGTACACGTACAAAGACTAATCAAACCTCTAGATCTCATATACCAATTGACAGGAAATACGAGGAAAT